GAAAAAGAACAGTAGGTAAAAACTAAGGAAATCTGAATAAAGCACGGATTATATTACATTATAATAAAGCAGTATTATATTAATACTGGTTCAAGAATTGTAATAAATTCACCATACTAATGTAAGATGTTAATAATGGAAACTTCATGTGGTATATACAGGCATTCCTCTATACTATCTTCTCAGTTCTGTAAATTTGAAATTGCTCTAAAAATAAAAAATAAAAAGATTATTTTTCAAATGCATATTTTACCTCTTAACTTGGAGCAAATTAAGTAGACTTTCTGTGGCTCATTTGTCTCATCTGTAAATTAGGGTAGTAATAACAACTTAGCTCAAAATTTTTTTGTGATGACTAACATGCTCAGAAGAATGCCAGACATATAAGATGTAGAAGATTTCGCCATTATCCTTTTTTAATATTCGTAAAGTGTGGTAACATTTTATGCAAATTGGTTTAAGAAACTGGAAGTAGTCTGATAGATAAAATACTGAAGTCTTACTTTATAGACATTTTGGAATAATGAAATTCTGCAATTGAAATTCTGTCAAAAATGACAATTTCAAAGTTGGTAAGTCACATGAAGTGTAAACTGAGTTTATATTATTGTCATTTGATGCGCCACATTAGCCAGTAAACTTGCTGGCCCTAGTAAGAGGAGTTAAGTTCCTAGAGTTGGCTCATATACAAGCCAACTGCTCCGTATTTGAATAACAAAATGACTAAGATAACTCCATGGTGATGGGATGGCTAGGCTACAGACTTAAGGTCAAAGTTACAAGATCAAAGTTACCTTTCCTAACATTTGGGTGGTTAGCAGTAAGAATTACCACAAATCTAAAGTTCAGGCAGATACTTCCCCTAGCTAGACTATAACTGATGAAACATATGATGCCTCTTAAATCTGCTTTAAATTGTCCAGATGTCCTGGTGTGGCGCTGTGGGTTAATGCACCCGACGGCAAAGCCGTTTGAACTGCAAGGTTGGCAGTTCAGGCTCACCAGCTGCTGCTCAGAAACCCTATACAGGGTCGATATGGGTCTGAATCGACTAGATGGCACATAATACAAAAACAAATCACGGGTATTGTGATTCTAAGTAGGCAAAACCCACTTAGCTATCTTTCCCTTTTGTAACAACTCAAAATTTCAATCTAAGTTCTGAGATCTACATACACACTTGTTGTTTTTGTTGTTGTTATGTGTTGTGGAGTCGGTTCCGACTCACAGAGTTTCCGAGGCTGTAAATCTTTACGAGAGTATAAAGCCTCATCTTTCTCCTGTGGAACAGCTGGTAGTTTTGAACTGCTGACCTTGCAGTTTACAGCCCGATTCGTAATCACTACGCTACCAGAGCTCCTTACATAAACACTATGACTACCTAAATAAGAAATTCTCAGGATAGTGTATCTATTTTCTGATTAAAAACCAACCAAACCCACTGCCACTGAGTTGATTCCAACTTAATGTTTAAACATTGTAAAACTTTATAGGAATAGTCAGTCTCATCCTTTTCCTTCAGAGTTGCTGGTGGCTTTGAACCACCGACCTTGTGGTTAGCAGTCCAGTGCTTATCCTACAGTGCCAGCAGGGTTTCTTGTTTTCCCATTACACCTTTAATACTTTAAGATAGAAAGTTAGAATATGTTCAAATAACTTGCTTACATGTATTTTATTTGAAAGTATTATATAAGAAAACAAGTTGTTTCCAAATTAGATATATAAAAATATATTGAAAATCAGTGATACGCTTTGTTTACAATAAAAGCGCAATTAGCAAGAGACTGCTCACTTAATCAAAATGCTAAAGGCAAATAAACGTAACTTATGACAAAGATCAAAGACGCCTGAGATTTGAAGGAAGATGTGAGAATTAGTATATTTTAACCTAGAAAAAATGGAAAAGGGTGTTGTACACACAAACGACATTTCTAAAATCTAAAATGTCTGTGCTTTATTTTTGCATGAAATGTTAAGATCCAAATTTGAAACCACTGAAATATTAAATTGCCTTGACATATGTCACCCTTTTACATCTAAATATCAGAGATATTTTCTTTCAATGCATTTTGTTTTTGAGATAATACTTTAGGAATAGTTTGGTCACTGTAGATGTGAACCACTTACTCTTTATCTTATTCTTTACTTTTTTTTTTTTTATCAATCATCCTAATTAACATTTTAAAAAAATTTACTTTGTTGTTGTTGTTGTTGTTGTTATGTGCCGTGGAGTCGGTTCCAACTCATAGCGACCCTGTACAGGGTTTCCGAGGCTGTAAATCTTTACAGGAGAAGAATGCCTCATCTTTCTCCTGCGGAGCAGCTGGTAGTTTCGAACTGCTGACCTTGTGGTTCACAGCCCGATTCGTAACCACTATGCTACCAGAGCTCCTTTACTTTAGCTATTTAAAACATTATTTTCTTATTTTTTATGTTTCTTATAAGTAAAAGTAACAATATTATATTTTAAGAAATACATACGTTTCAGTAACAAAAAAAGCAGTACTTTTTCTTTCCTAATGAATATCCCACTAAGATGATATTTTATCATGGATACTAATGAATAAATGAACTTCATTTCAGTAGTCACTGGTCATGCAGTGGCTAGGTGCTGGGCTGTTAACTGAGTGGTCAGTGATTCAAACCCACCAACTGCTCTCTGTTAGAAAGACATGGTAATCTGTTTCCATAAAGACTACAGCCTCCCAAACAGACTTCCAAACCCGATGGGAAGAAGCCTTGGCAGCGTAGTAGATTATGACCTTGTGGTCAGCAGTCCAAATCTACCAATTGCTCAGAGGGAGAAAGATGAGGCTTTCTGCTTCCATAAAGATATATAGTCTTAGAAACTCTATACCAGGTAGCTATGAGCCAAAACCAACTCGAAGGCACACAACCACCACCAAACCCGACGGGGCAATTCTACTCTGCCCTATTGGGTGACTGTGAGTGGTAATTGACTCCACCAAGGCAATGGGCTTGGGTTTTAATTATTAACCATGCAAACTATCTTGGTTGTAAAGAGGTAAATATAGTGACCAATCTCTCTGACATACTAATATATCAATTTTATATCACATATGTGTAATCTCTAGGTAGTAGATACATGGTAAAATGTTCATAACCTATGTTGATAAATGAAGGAGCCCTGGTAGCATAGTGGGTTATGAGTTGGGCTGTTAACCACAATGCCAGCAGTTAGATTCATTCCTTGGGAGAAAGATGAGGCTTTCTGCTCCTGTAAAGATTTACAGCCTCGTGAACTCTATTACAGGGTCACTATGAGTTGGGACCGACTCCAAAGCATACAACCACCATGACCACCAGCATGCTGTGAATGAGTGATTGGCTTCTCTTTTCTCATTTTAGAAGGGAATGTTCCAACACTGTTGATACATAGTATTGATTTTGAAATGGTAACATGATTACTTTTTGCTGTCTCATAAAAGGATATTCCATGAACCTTTTACTCTATAAATTATTCTCTTTATGGTAACAAGTCTCTAAATAAAACACAAAACAATGAAACCATATTAGCTCAGTTGATCTACCAATTAAAATTATTAGTGGCTCCTATTCTCATAAGATAACGCCAAATCATGAGCTAATTTTTTAATGCCTAAATTAAACGCCCTGTTGTGGTGCTGTGGGTTAATGTGCTAGACTGCAAAGCCGTTTGAACTGCAAGGTCGGTGGTTCAAGTTCACCAGCTGCTCCTCAGAAACCCTATACAGGGTCACTATGGGTCAGCACCGACTCGATGGCACTTCACAACAACAAGTAAAGATAGTCTCCTCTCTCCAGTACACAAATGATTAGATGACTGGTCTACAGAATTACCATCCTAGCGACACAGTTCAGAATCCCATGTTCTGAAGGGCAGATGAGAAGGTAGCAAACATTCCCAAGTAAGGGACACCTGACTAGATGGACTCATTTTGTCTCAACTATTATTCTGACTATATTAATAACACACAACTTATAAATTATAAGTGTTATAAAAACCTGTGAAGAAATTTTAAAAGAAAAAGAATCAAGTAATCAAATAAGATAAATATATTACCTATACCTTTAAAAATCTAGAAAATAAATATTTTCAAGTAAAGATATATCAGAGAGATGACTTTCACACTCTTAACTTGCTACAGAATATGTCAGAGTAGTTTAAACTAATACCCATTTTAAAGATACAGATTCCAAGGGCAAATATGGAAAAAGTCATTATGAAATTATAAATTTTTTCTTACTCTTCGCTAAGTAAGCCATTTCCCCTTCTTGACCCTCTCTTTCACCATTTGATTACAGACCCTCTGTATTCCTTTAAACATTTCTTAAAGAATGTCTTTCATTTGCCTAAAAAGTACACATTTCAGTGATAGGTATAAGAATTAGTAGCTATCATCTTAGGAAAAGATATGTTACTGTATTCTCTGTATTAGTGTGGAAAGCTGCAACATATACAGGACAAAGAGAAATAACCATTAGGAAAATATTATTGACAATGACAGTGGCGTGGAAAAAATACTGACAACTACAATGTGCAGCTTCTAATAAAACCTTAATTTTCACTAAAATTAAAAGATAACTTTATAAATCTGTTGTAAACTAAAATATAAAAGAATTTTTTACTATAGAAATGTCTTCTATAGCTTTACTGACTATAGGAGGTAAATGAATGGGACAAACCTAAGGCAATGATGCATAAAATTGCTGCTATAAATTATTTCTAAAGCAAAGTCAAATCTATATTCGGAACATCAGGTATTTCAAAATGAAAGCTATTTGTTGTCTTTATAATTTTACTTGATTAGTATTATACTATTTTAAAAAAATCTTAGCAAAAGTACCACATGTTCATACCAAGATATTTTAAGTGCAAATATGTAGATGTACCTAAATACATAAAATCACAGATTTTAGATAGTAAGTACTAAATTATTTTAAAACATCATAGAGACTATCCCCCACATCCCATTTCTAACAGTAAGAAAATCATCAACCTGCATGAACTGGAATCAGATTCATTTTCTTCTTCACTAGTGCCATCATCCACTTCTGGTCTATCCAGCCAATGTGCACCGCCACAATCTTCTGCTGTAAACTCAAATGCGGGGACTTCAGAGGTGGATGCCATTGGCCAAGAAGGTGAATTCTGAAAATCCAGTTGGCTGGACCTTCGGTAACCAATTGAAGCCAAAGGCAATTGTAGGCTACATGGATCTAAAAACTTTCTCCCTCCGTTTGCTCCAGTCTGTCCTCGATTCCAAAATTCGCCCTGCTGGCTGTCAACTGCAGAATTAGGAGATGATGCTTGATGGCCAAACCACCTCCATTTGATTTTCAAAATCTGCTTCACATCAAACTCTTTACGAGAACCAGACATCCTCAGAGAAACCAAGTGATCGTCTAGGCAACGGGCAAAAAGCACTGCACAGAGATTTGAGTATCCAACCAAGACAAGAGAAGTATATGCCCTGTTGTACACAACAAACAGATTTAAAAGAAAATAAATCACATTCACATGCACATCTACATTTACTTTATACCAATATATCACACTATAAAGAACAAAGGATAACAAATAGAGATGAAACACGGTGGAACATTCCGTGGAACATTCCGTTCAATCAGAGCAAACTGTCATCCACTGCTCTTGGAGCAGCCAGACCACTTTCCTTTGCTCTCCTCCTTCCCCATACTGACCATTAGCTCTCAGAAACACTGACAGCATTCATTAAAGTCCTTTCAAATGCAGAACACCACCCCTTTTCTGAAACTACAAATGAGGGAGCAGGAAAGCACAATCCCCAAGCAGTATCTCCTTCTCTAGTGCTTACTATATTAACTCTTTTACTGCTGAAACATGACATTTATTCTATAGTACTTTCCTTTGTACTTAAAAAAATCACTATAAAATGAAAATGTTTCTAATTTTTATATTAAACTTCTAAAGTGGTATCACAATATAACAGGCTTTAAAAAGCATGCTTTAACTAAGATGAATTACAATGATTTTTAAGCAGTGTGCAATTTGGATGGGGATGAGTAAAAAGGAGTCCTAAGAAGGTGGGACTCCAGAGCGTTTCCTTCCACCATTATTTTCTTCCTTTAACCAAAAGAGTTTACTAATTAATACATAAGATCCTCGTAAGGTTTCATTTGAACAAAGAACAATGAGAAGGAAAAGTTTGAAAACTACAAATAATCAAAATATATGGTAGCATTTACTCTCTTTCAAAAGAATAGCCTGAAGCCAATAATGCGCTATAATTAGAACTGGGCCACTTCCATCTAGTATAATGTCCACATTTCTGTGTGGCACTGTGTGATAAACACTGGACCACAAGGTTAGTTTGAATCACAAGGTCGACAGTTCAAATTCACCAGCTGCTCCTCGGAAACCCTATACAGGGTTGTTAAGAGTTGGAACCGACTTGCCAGCATTGAACAAGTAAGAAAAAAAAAAAAGAAAATGTGGCTCAAAGGTCTCCAGGGTTGGGATGGGACTACAAGTACCCTACTGGTGCCCTCTATTTTAACAAAACAAAAATGGTCAGAACAGGCTACAGTAAAGACAACTGATAGAGCAAATACATATCAAATAAATGTAATAAAAAATTTAAATATTAAGTAATTATTGTGAGCAAACCACTTTACTAGGTATTGAACATGGATATTATATACATATCATGCTCCCTACTGGCAAAAAGAATAAATCTAGTTACTGAAACATAAACATATTGATAAGTTATGAGATATTACAATATTGAAATTTTATGATCCACAAACACAGAATTTGAGTTTTCAGGGTACTTAATATCTAATATATCAGATAATTTCACTCAAAAGGCATTACCTAAATCAGGTATCAAAAAAATAACAAAAAAAGTTGCATTGCTTATAAAAGTATTGTGATCCATAGATTTTAACTTCACATGGCTTTTCAGGAGGATAAAAATTGTACAGAGGAGAAAAGAATGAGAAGCATGAAAAACTACATAAAATTTGTGCTAAATATAGTGTTATAAACCATAAATACTATTGTGGTTATGTGCTGTGGAGTTGGTTCAGATTCATAGTGACCCAGTATAGGGCTTCAAAGGCTGTGAATCTTTATGGGAGCAGAGAGCCTCATCTTTGGCCTGTGGAGCTACTGGTGGATTCAAATTGCTGACCACACAGTTAGTAGCCCAACTCATAATCTACTATGCTACCAGTTGTTGTTAGGTGCCATCAAGTCGGCTCTGACCCATAGCAACCTTATGCACAGCAGAACAAAACACTGCCCGATCCTGGGCCAACTTCACTACTGTTGCCACACTTGAGTCCACTGATGCTGCCACTTGGCCAATCTATCTTGTTGGGGGTATTCCTCTTTTTCTCTGACCACCTTACTAAACATGATGTCCTTCTCCAGGGACTGGTCTCTCCTGACAATAGGTCCGAACTATGGGAGATGAAGTTTGGCCATCTTGGCCTCCAAGGAGAACTCTGGCTGTACTTCTCCCAACATAGATCTGTTGGTTCTTTTGGCAGCCCATAGCACTTTCAATACTCTCCTCCAACACCATAACTCAAATGCATCAAATTCTTCTACTGTCCTCCTTATTCACTGTCCAGCTTTCGCATGCATATGAGGTTACTGAAAATACCATGGCTTGGATCAGGCGTACTTTAGTCTTCAAGCTGACATCTTTGCTCTTCAACACTTTTAAAAGGTCTTGTGCAGCAGATTTGCTTAATGCAATATGTCGTTTGATTTCTTGACTGCTGCTTCCATGTTGATAGTTGATCCAAGAAGAATGAAGTCCTTGACAACTTCAATCTTTTCTCCGTTGACAAGGATGTTGTTTATTGGTCCAGTGGTGAAGATTTTTGTTTTCTTGACATTGAGATGTAATCTACATTGAAGGCTATGTTCTTTGATTTTCATCAGTAAATGTTTTAAGTCCTCTTCACTTTCAGCAAGCAAGGTTTTATCATTTGCATATTGCAGGTTATTAATGAGTCTTCCTCCAATCCTGATGACACGTTTTTCTTCATATAACCCAGCTTCTCGTACTATTTGCTCAACATACAGGTTGAATAAGTATGGTGAAAGAATACAACCTTGTCGCACACCTTTCTCAATTTTAAACCATTCAGTGTTCCCATGCTCTGTTCAAACAACTGCATCTTGGTCCAGGTACAGATTCCTCATGAGCACAATTAAGTGTTCCAGAATACTCATACCTTGCAATGTTGTCCATAGCTTGTCATGATCCACACAATCAAAAAACTTTGCGTAGTCAATTAAGCACAGGTAAACATCTTTCTGATATTCTCTGCTTTCAGCCAAGATCCATCGGACATCAGCAATGATATCTCTCGTTCCACGGTCTCTTCTGAATCGGGCTTGAACCTCTGAAGTTCTCTGTCAATGTATGATTGCAGTTGTTTCTGTATTTTCTTTAGCAAAATTTTACTTGCATGGGATATCAGAGAGAATGTCTGATGATTTCTGCTTTCCGTTGGGTCACCTCTCTTTGGAATGGGCACAAATATGGATCTCTACCAATCAGTCAGCCAGATAGTTGTCTTCCAAATTTCTTGGCATAGATGAGTGAGTGCCTCCTGTGCTGCCTCACTTTCTTGAAAGATTTCAATTTTTATTCCATCAATTCTTGGTGCCTTGTTCTTTGCCAATTCCTTCACTGCACCTTGGACTTCCTCCTTCAGTATCATTGGCTCTTGATCATATGCTACCTCTTGAAACGGCTGAACATTAACCATTTCCTTTTGGTACAGTGACTCTGTGAATTTCTTACATATTATTTTGATGCTTCCTGCACCATTTAATTATTTGCCCAGAGAATCTTACAATAACGAAAGTCGAGACTTTAATACTTGGTTTTATCATCTCGAGCTAAGACTTTAATACTTGGTTTTATCATCTCGAGCTGATCTTTAAAATTTTCTGTTCAGCTCTTGGACCTCTTCATTTCTTCCATTTGCTTTAGCATCTTTACGCTGCAGAGCAAGTTTTAGTGTCTTGTCTGACATCCATTTTGATCTTTTCCTTCTTTCTTGTCTTCTGAATGACTTTTTGCTTTCTTCATGTATGATGCTCTTGATGTCATCCTACAACTCTCCTGGTCTTCGATCTTTATGGTTTAATGCATCAAATCTATTCTTCAGATGATCTCTAAATTCAGGTGGGATATATTCAAGGTCATATTTTGGCTCTTGTGGACTTGTTTCATATTCTTTAGCTTCAGTTTGAATTTGCATATGAGTAATTGATGGTCTGTTCCACAGTCTGCCCCTGGCCTTGTTTTCAATGATATGGAGCTTTTCCATCATCGCTTTCCGCAAATGTAGGCAACTGGATTTGTATGTATTCCATCTGGTGAGGTCCATGTGTATAGTCGTCTCTTATGTTGTTTAAAGAAGGTATTTGAAATAAACAAATCATTGGTTTTGCAGAATTCTGTCATGTGTTCTCCAGCATTATTTCTATCACCAAGGCCATATTTTCCAACTACTGATCCTTCCTCTTCACTCCCAACCTTTGCATTCCAATCACCAGTAATGATCAATACATCTTGATTGCATGTTTGATCAATTTCAGATTGAAGAAGTTTCTAGAATTCTTCTATTTCAGGGGTAGTAGATATGAAGTTGGATGGGTAGGATGAGATAAAATGCCTTGAGCAAAGGAGTAAAGACTAGTAGGCAATATTAAATGGACTGTTGAAGGGCAATGTTTTAGAAGATTAATTTGGCAGCAGTATCCAGTTTAGAGGAGAGGGGAAAGGACATTTCTGTCAGCCTCCTATCAGTGTCCTTCAAACTGCACTCTCTCTCTTCAACTTTAATTCAAACTATTTTCCAACATGGAGTTCTGGTGTGGTACTGTAGGATAAGCACTGGCCCACAAAGCTGACTTGAACTGCAAGGTTGATGGTTCAAAACCACCAGCTGCTCCTCTGAAGCCCTATACAGGGTCACTATGAGTTGGAACCGACTCAACGGCACTTAACATCAACATTTTCCAACACAGACAAAGTACTCTGTCAGTCAAGGCAGAGTGTAGATTCATTCATAATACTCTCTTTTTGTAAATGTTGTTTGGTAAGTAGCTTTAGCTCAAGTACTTATCCAGCTGCTGTTGAGTCAACACTGACTCACGGTGACCTCAGATCTGAATGTCAGAGGTGATCTGTGTTCCATAGGTTTCAATGGCTGGTATTTTTCAGAAGTAGATCTCTCTTTTCAAGGAGCCACTGTGTGAACTTGAACTGTCATCCTTTTAGTCAGTAGCCAAGTAGGAGCACAGGCATGATAATGGGTGTGTTGTTGTTGTTATGTGCCGTGGAGTTGATTCTGACCCATAGCGACCATGAACAGGGTTTCCAAGGCTGTAAATCTTTACGGGTGCAGAAAGTCTCACCTTTCTCCTGCAGGACAGCTGATAGTTTCGAACTGCTAACCATGCAGTTCGCAGGCCAATTCATAACCACTACGCTACCAGATTCAAACACATACAAATATAAAAATATTGCTACTAGGATTCTAGTTCACAGACATATATATACATACGTCCCAAACAAGACGTATTTATATATGTCTCTGCG